GGGGGGGGGGGGGGGCGGCGTGACGTGGGGCAGCGCATTTTGGGAGTAAACAAGTGCAAGCGGCAGCCGGCCAAAGGGGCGAACGACTGATCGATCAATACAGGTCGAAATACTTACCCCATAGCAGCCTTGCTTCGACCTGTCCAGCGCCACGCAGCACGGGTGCGGGTCACCCGCGCTATCTGCTGCTGCGCTCCTCGTCTGCCGGCCCGCCGCCCCTCCAACTCCCACTGATGTGAGCGCCCAGCCCCATGTTGCGCCCCATCACCTGCAAGAGAGTGAACTCGTCCGGCGGCATGTCACCACGCCGCCCAGGGCCAGCGGCAGCTGCGGTCGCCACTGGCGCGGCGTCGAAAGCGCCGCCGCCACCGGCAGTCGAGGGGGCGCCCGGCGGGGCGTACGGTGCACCGACCAGGCGCATCCAGCTGCACACCAGCCCCGCCATCTGGGCGCAGCCTGGGGTATCACACAACATGCGGGCGGGGAGAAGCGCCAAGCCGGCTGAGATGAGTGTGAAATTCGCGCTCTACGTGCAACTTGCCACCTGACGCATCCCTGAGGGCAGCCATCCGTCTCCACCCCAAAACCAGCGGGCCCGCCAAGCCAACCATGAGCCGGCAACATGCCTAGACAACAAAGACGATTGATTTCTACCCCTTGCGCTCCCTCTTCGCTCGTAAAACGCCCGCCAAAACCCCACCGTTGCCAGGCGCACCCTCCCCAGCTGCTGCTGGTCAAACGCCCGCGCTGGCACGCCCCCCCCCCAAAGAAAACGTCACACAGACTCGCGCGCACCTTCGTAGCTGGTGGTGAGGCTCTCTATCACCTCCTCGGGCTTGCCCCCAGCCCTGATGTAGCGCCCCACCACCTCAGCCATGCCGGGCTCCATAATGGCGTCGGGCGCGCGCATGGCGCCCTCCAGGGACAGCAGCTCCTCGGTGGGGGCCGCCGCAGCCGCCGCCGCCATGGCGCCACGCGTCAGCCCCGGCACCGCCGCTTGGAGGGCCCCGCAGCGCCGCTAGGCCCGCGGCTCCGCTGGGCCCGCAGCTGGGCACCCGTGGTTAGGCCGCGACGCCCACGCGCGCTCCCCTCACGCTGTGCCAGCCACTCCCGCTGCTGGGGGCCCGCCGGGCCGACAGCCGGACGGAGTCGCTGCCCGCAAGCTTGGTGCCTGAACGGCTTCGCAGGAGGGGCCGCCGTTCGTTCTTGTCGCTGGAGTTGAGGCGCCTGCAGCGGGTCCAGGTCAGCTCGCCCGCTGGTGTGTTGTTGGCTGCGCTGCAGGTCTTCAATTGTCACGCTTGCCAAACAATAAATTAGGATACCAGCTCGCTCTGAGAATGAACAACGAATGCTTGCATGATCTCGATCGCGATTAGATCTAGGATTGCTTCAATATAATGGCATAGGGCGCTGTTTGCTGAGAACTGCTTTGTCCAACAAAGCGCTATCGTCAACACATGTCCGTGTGCGATGGCACTGGTCATGCTGCGTGATGCCATCCACGCAGCTGCACTGCGACCAACAGGGCGCGTGCTCAGCATGTGAGCAGGCAACACCAGGAAAGTAAACATCCCGTCCCACTGCCATCTCTGCTGATGGAGCTTTTCTATGAAGGCACGACGTGGGCGGTGGGCCAGTATCAAGATCGCTGGTCTGACGCTGGGGGCTGCTGTTTTGAGAGACAGCAGCAACGCCAGTCTCTGGCTTGCACCGCTGCCGCCTCAACACGTGTGGGTGCGTGCATGCGGCCACAGTCAGCAAAATAAACGCAGCAACCAATGGCGGCCGGGTATGCAGGTGTTGGGGTCGGAAAGAGACCCGGCCCCTCTCACACAAGTAAGAAAGCAACGGGCAACCCCGCTGGGGGGCAGGCGCCGGCCTCTTAGTCGCACCGGGCGACCCTGACAGGCAGGGAGGTGAAAGCGCCCAAGAAGCATGTAACCTTAGCATTGCAGCCTGCCGCGCAGCGGAGGCTGACGACGGCGGGCACTAGCACTGGTTTGATTTCAGGTGTGTAAGGGGCGATGGTGGGGTCAACGAACAGAGTCCCGTCTCCAGAATGCGGCGAGGGATGCGGCGTCAAAATGCTGCCTGCGTGCGCTTCCCATTGAAGGGTGCACGCAAAGCCTAAGGGGGGCGCAGAGATGAGTCGATTGCGCAGCCAAGCTGGAACAAGCCCTTGAGTGAAACTCGCGCACAGGCAAAACGGCAGAGAAATATGAGCGAGGCTACGAGGCACAAGCGCAGTTGCTGCATGGAGAGCCGCATTCCTTGTACCGCTGCTGAGCCGCCGCCCAACCCTCAACACGCGCGGGTGTTAGAGATAGTGAGAGGCTCTCTGAGTCACGGAGAGCGAGGACTCCCTCCCTCGCGCAAGGGATGACAGAGAGGGGTGGGGCGGGGGGAGGGGGCGTGTCAATCGGCACCCGTTGCAGTGAGTCACTGCAACGGCTGGGGCTGCTCGAATGCCAACGCTGCTTCTGGGCTGCCAGCCTGGCCAGCGCAGGCCATGGGCTGGCAGGGTCCCAGCGGGCCCATCATGCTGCAGACCTCGCTGGTTGTAGATGCAAGGGTCATGCCCCGGGGAGCAGACCAGCCAGGCCGTGCACTTCCAGAGATCAGTGAGCCCCCCCCCCCGCCCCGCACCATGTGCCGTGCGGCTGCAGCTTCCTGAACCATAACCATAGTGCATGCCGGGGCCACAGCGCATGCGGTATGCTTGGCACACGGTGTGCCCGCCGAGCAAACCGTGTCGCATTCGGTGCCGAGGTTTAGTGGCAACAACCCTCCGTCTGAGGGCTCCCAATTGACACTTGCACCGAGAGGGGAGGGCGGGGTAGCACAAGATGCCCGTAATGTTTCCTGTGCAGATCATGATACCCAGCAGTTCCCCAGCAGCACGCCTGGCCAAGGCTTGTCCCTGGGCAGGGGCTGGACGTCAACGGGCTTTAGACCAGACCGGCAGGCAAGAGCAAATGCAGTGGATGGTGCCTTTGTCTTATCACTACGGACAGGTCAATACTTAGGCTCCCCACATGAACAGCATCACACCTGCAACTGCCTGGGGCCCTGGCAGCCCTCCCCTGTCGACGGCGATCAACGCGGTTGTGGGACCCCTGAGAAGTCTGTTGTGTGTTGTCAAGGCCGCTGCTACGGATAACAGGTTGCCGGTTGGCTGAAGGCACAACGAAGAAAACTAACAAGTACATCCGCATAGCTGCTGTTAACACCCACGCAAGCACTGAAGGACACGAACCGCACGTATTGACGTGCGACGGCGGCAGTGAAGCATTGAAATCTTGCTTTGTCCACCAACCTGAACAGATCACACATGTGCACTTGCCAAGAATCTTTTTGATGAATACAGACAAGTTTATGTGACGGGATTCGTTCCTTGTCGAGGGAGATCTGAGGCTGTGACCGCACTCCTATTCGCTGCAGCCACCTGCCGTGCAACTCGACAACCTACCTATCCGGATAACAATAAGTTCCCATGCATATGGCTCAGGGGTTCTGCCCATGGTCTCCCTGGCCCCAGCCGTTACATGAGGCGCTGCTCAAGGAACGCCGACAGGTGCATCTGCATGCCTTTGCGCTGAAAGCGGAAGTTATGATTACGTGATGCTATTATGTTTTAGAAGCAAGGGCGACGGGGTTGAGAGCCACTGCACACCCGCTGCCGCGCCCCAACTTTCCGCACTCGTTCGCTCGCACCCCAACCCAGCGGAATTTGCGGCTCTCTCTTCCTTCTTCCAGCCTTGATTGATATATGAGATATATTAATTTTGATAGCTTTTATCACAATAGCTGTTAGGAGGACTTCTTTGACAGAACGCGTCGGAGCCGCTTCGACCGGGTCTTAGGAGCGCAGGTGGATTGAGCAAGAACTGTTAATATGATGGAATTCGAATCTTACATACAGCACACTGCGGCTGCATGCGCTGCCGCGCCGCCGGGGGGCGCCGCGGTGTTGAGCCCCTGCTCGCCGGTCATCGCCGCTGCCGGGTGCAGCAAGCGTGCGCGGCTTGGCCTGGGGCCAGTGGCTCCGGCCGCAGCAGCAACGGCGTGCCACAGCAGCGATGGGCGCAGCTGCTGCTCCCTGGGTACGGGCCTGGACCTCCGCAGCCTGGAGGAGTTGGCACAGTGCGCTTGGCCAGGTGCGCGGGCGTAACCTGGGCTGTGCTTCTTGCGAGGAGCACGAAGAGTCCTGGGACCGACAGATGCACAGGGTAGAGAACTGCTGCAACACGGGCGTGTATCGACATTCTGAGCAATAGTCAGGGTGGCGGGCCGCATGGGGGGCAGCGCTGGGCTGCAAGTGGCGTTTGTTGGCAAGTAGCGTTAGCGCGTGTCTGCACCTCGGCTGCCTCCTCACAACTGCCAGGTGCTATGGCAGATGGGACACCCAGGCAGTATGTTCCCTAGCCGCCTACTCTGGTCATTTGCAATGAACCGGTCTCTACCTCCCCGTGCACTGCCCTTTCCCTAACTGGCTCATATCCCCTCCGTCGTACCCCCCTTCCCACCAGAGTGTGAGACCTGTGGACGCCAGGACCTGCTGCATCTGAGCTGCAACAAGTGCGCCAGCCCAGTGTGCGGCGACTGCGTCGGCGGAATGTGCGGCGTCTGCGGCGCCGACCTTCAGCGCGCGTTCAGGGGTGAGAGTCGGGGCCGCGGGCCAGGGTTGGGAAGGAGCCGCTCGAGTTGCCAACGGCCAGCATATCGCTCTGTAAGCAACCAAGGCGCTGATCGTGTAGGATGGGGCTGCAGTTTTAAAACACATCTTACCGAACCCTCTCCCTCTCCCCCCAAAACACACATTGTCTTTCCACAACAGGCTGTGACCTCTGCGGGCGCGTCTTCCGTCGCCGCGCCACCCGCATGTGTGTCCATTGCACCGAGACCTGGTGCTTCTCCTGCATCGACCGAGTGGGCACCTGCGGCTGCGGGGGCCTCACTGAGGAGGGCTTCCTGCGGCCCCTGGAGCTGGTGGAGGCCGCCCCACCACCCAGGGGCACGGACGGGGTTTTGGAGCCAGTGGGGCCGTGCCTGTCAACGGCCAGCAGCTGCAACCTGGCGGCATGCACCGCGGACACCGCGGTGAGCGGCGGGGCTGCGGCGGCAGCGGCCGCGGAAGGCGCCGCGCTAACGCTGGCTGCGCTGCGCGCGGAGGCGCACTCATGCAGCGGTGGCGTTGGCGCTGGGGCGCAGCAGCAGCTGCAGCATGTTGCGCCCAGCTCTGCGCCCGTGCGGGCGATCGCGACAGCCTCCAACCGAAACGGCGAGGAGAGTGACGGCGATGACGACAGCGGCCCTCAGTGGTCTTCCAATGGCGGCAGCTGCACATGCTGATGGCAGGACATCCCCCCCCCCCCCC